GTTTGTTATCTCTTTGAGGATTACAACAATTGCAAAATTCGTCGACATATGGACTCATTGTTAATAAAATAAAAAACAAATCTCTATAAAGAGATTAAATCATTACACCATTATATGTTTAGCAAAACATCATCAATTAACATGAATGTAATGGTGTAAAAATTATATTTTATATATTTGATTACTATTGTAAGTCTACTTTTAACCTCACAATTCATTTCTTTCTTTTCTGCTTAACAAGAAAAAAAAAGGTAAATCTGGCAGTGTGTAAATGGAGTTGTATTTCTCTGTTAGCAGATTGTAAGTTTTCAAATCATTTAGGTATCGTGTAGGCGTGTATACCTGTCGTGCAGAATATACTATTCTTATTCTGTTTTATTTTTTTTTTCTTTTCTTTTTTGCTTTTATCATTTTTAGTGGATATATGATCTATGTATACTCTTGAACTCACAATGACGAAAAAAAAAAACGCGTTTTATAATTTAGCTATAGTGAATCCTAATTCCGTTTTCAAAACAGAAAGAGAGAAAGAGAGAAAAAAACTAAGAAAAGATTTTTTGACGACAACAGTACTTCTATATATATATGAAAGCGACGATATGCTGGGTGTGTGTCGATGTACCACAAAAATGTTTGACGGTAGCACGGTAAAATTTACTTTCGTTTTGTTTAAAAGAAAAGGGGACGACATAAGAGTAGTTTTGTATTGTGTGTATGTGTGAGGGTATATAAATATATATATATATATATATGTTTGTCCATCTCGTGTGATTAAAAGAAAAAGAGAACAATAATTTTTATCAGTTTTTCATTCACTACTATAACTATAAGGCCACTCGAAAGTTGTTATGTTTCTTTGAATATTAGAAGAAAAAAAATAGTGATATTAGGGTCAATAATGCTATGTTCATTTATTAGAAGCCAGTGAAAAATTCGTCGATCAGATTGATAGACATACGAAGTACATTTATTAGTCGAAATCATGGATATTATGAGCGATGTGGACAAATTAGAGAATGGCGCCACAAGCGATTCCTCATCATAATCACCCTCTACAGATAGATATTCTTCTTTAATTCAATGGATATTGTCATCACTATTATTTAGACTTAGCTTTTTTATATTATTCTTTGATTATGTGTAATAATTTTAACAATTAAGGTGTCGTTTTTTTTATGAATTTACATTTATGGTAAGTCATTGTTAATTACTTTCGAGAAAAAAAGAAATATAGAATTCTATTCTATTGTAAAAATGTATTCTACTGAACAAACATTTTTTTACTCTAAAGTTGTAAAAAATTTCTGTTGTTCTGAGTCCGTCTGTGTCGTACAAAAAAAAATAAATAAAATAACGGCAAGTATCTAACAGTATTGTGTTGATTTTCGCACGTATTGAAATAAAAACAAGCAAAATGTCCAATCTATACTTCTGCTCTGTTCATAGAAAAAATTCAATGATTTTTATTATTCTCACTCAAATCGTGTCAAAATTTTCTTACAATGCTTTTTTTATAACGTGGAGTTGATTTATGTTCGTGATTTTAACTCAGAATACTAGCTTAGCAGTGATCAAGAAAAGCGAGACTATAATAATCGAACATCATAACATGAATATATCTATTTATTAGAATACGCCTCTAACATCTACTCTCATCAGCACTTCAACACGTTCATTAAAAAAAACTAAATTTCATGTTGGCCTTTTTCAGTTTTTGAAAATAACAAACTTTACCAGTTCTACAATCACGAGACTGTGATCGATTATTCTCATTTATGTAATGAAAAAAAAATTCTCATTTCTTTTGAGAAATACAGGCTTACTTGGAATTTTCAATTTTCTTTGAAACCGGACAAAGATGACCTAGACTTTATGAATAAGTAACGAAGTTGAATAGAAAAAATATCGTTTTCCTAAATAATCACTGGATATTTCGGTAAAAAAAGAAAAAATTGAAGTGACAAAAGATTGATTCACTACTAATCTGATAATCTATTGTATACTTGCGAGTTAGTTATTATTAATTCTTCTGTAAACAACTATTTTGTCACTTCCAAAAAGGAAATATTTTTAACAAGTAAAAATCAAATTTAGTTTTCCTTTTTCTTGTTTTTTTTTTGTAAAACTAAATTTTGAATTAGAAGTATTTTTTTCACATATGTGTCAAACATCTTTCGAAACTCATTCCGTGTCTCTAGTATCTATATCATTATTCTTCTTACTATTAACAAATATTCATGTTTAATCTGTTTTGAAAAAAATATTTGAAAGAAGATAAAAAGTCACAGCCAAATTGATCAACGGTTTTTTTTTCTTTTTTTTAACTGACTGAATGCTATTTTTTTTTCTATAAGTCAAACTTGACGAAACAAGAGTATTAAAGACAAACTTAATTTTTCTTATCACATTTATACTCGTCCTCTTACACATGTACAAAACGTTTGTATCAATGTCATTATGTTCCTTGAAAATTGATACACATAAGTAAATAGATCATTTGAGAGAGAGACTTATCAAGGTTAAGAATACGAGAGAAGACATTAGTCGATGAGACAAACAAAACGAAAAAAAATAACGGAAGAACAAGAAGAAGAAAGTCATGAGAGTAGTAAGAATCGTTTTTTGTGTTGTCAACCATTTTTTTTCTGTTTTTTTCATTCTTTTCTTGAGATCTGGATAAGAAAAGGGAGAGATCATCAAATCATTTCTTATTACGTCAAACTCTTATCATTACGTCGTTAGAATTTGTTTTCCTTCTTTTTTTCTCGTTTCTCTATGTGTTTAAAATCGAACAGATCCCTCTACTCACTCACTCAATACATTTTTTTTTTTTGACGCCTCCAATCGTTACAATATAAAAAAAGAAGAAGAAGAATTCTATTGTGTACTTTGTCGCATTTTTCTTCTCTTGTTAAAGCTTAACAGAATGGAAACTTAGAGTTCAATACAGAATAATGATTCATACGTAGTTTTTAGAAAAAATGATGTTTGAATGAATAACCAAATAAATCTAGAAAAATGATAGACTTTTCCCATTTATTTATCTATATATAGAGATGGAAAAATACTAGAATCTAATGTTCATATCCATTTTTAGATTTATCTGTAAATAAGTGTGTGGTGCCCGTCTAATATGGCCGATCAATTTCGAGATAATTTTGTGGTAAGATAAATATTTTCAAAGTTATTTCTGAAAGAGGGTGAGGAGGATTTTCACAAGGATGTAGATGAGACAACTTTGCCGAAATTTTTCTTCATTCTAGGTATTATACACTATTGAACATTATTTCGAATAACTTTGATTTTTTTATGTTTTTAGGGAGAACGTGGTTATGACTCATTGAAAAATTTAATGAAAACAGGCAATGATATTTGTATTGAGGCAGCAAAATGTTTTCAAGAAAGGTTGATATAAGACGACATAAATTTAAACAAAAGTTATAGAAGATTCTTTCATGTCATTTAGATATGATATGGAATTAGTTTACGCAACTGCATTAAGTAAAAATAGTGAAAAACTGAAAAAAATTGCAACGAAATCACAGGGGTAAACTATCATGGCTCTCATCCTTTTTCATTAGATATTGAATTGTTTTTTTTTATACTTTTATCTATCATTTAGCTCAGTCGCCAATGCTTTTCATCAGTTATCTGTCCAAACCAATGTGGAATCGGACGCTCATAAACAATTAGCAAATACAATATCAAAAGATATCTCATTACCAATGAAAACTTTAGCCGAAACACAGTCAAGAGCTAGAAAAACCGTATGTATGACCACAGTAGAGAACTTTTGTATACCTTCTAGGAAGATCACTTGCTTGGAGCTTTTTATTTTTTTTCTTACTTTTATAGATTGAAGATGGTTTGAATTCCAAATTTAAAGCATGGAGAGATCAAAAAGATACGGATAAAAAAGTTAGTATGCCATTCATCTTGCTCTCACCCTCTGCTATAATCTTATTATTTATTTTCTCAGTATCGTGGACGTTCATTTGAAAAATGCAAAGAAATCGAATCATTATTTTTAAAAATGGATGAAATTCCAAAATCGACAAAAAATTCAGTGAAAGATGTATCAAAAGTAAGTGTTATGAAATGCTTTGACGGATTTTTTAATTAAACAAATTAAAGACAGAAAAAATTGATGATATTTTTTTAGGATAATCTCAATACTTTCTCCACACTTGGGTCGTGTGTATATCCACGTCACTCAACATCATCACAGGTGTGAATAAAATATTCAAACGGGTTTCTCATAGGGAATCCACATAACCCGCTGCTTAATTTACTCTCAGATGATAATTAATAGTCTTTAAAAGAAAACTGCATGTCTGGTTTTTTATCTACTTCACTGGTTTTATTATATGTCAAGGCACTTAGTGTGAAATATGGTGGTAGAATATCCGCGTTTGTAACTGAAAAAAGTGCGAAAAGGAATAGTTTCTACGGGTTTTCGTAAAAATTTCATGTATGGTGTAAGTCACAGTTTCTTTTCTGCATCGGCTTTGATAATCAACTTCTATCAGGGTTGGGCGAGTCCGGAGGGATGCCGAATTCGAGCCAAGTCCAAGTCATGAAGCGAGCATACCGAGTCCGAATCCTTGAAATGCAGTCCGAGTCCTCAATCCATTTCGAGTCTTTATTTTTAAACTTTTTTCGTTGTTGTTATTTAAATTTCTTTTTTCTTCTATAGCATATTTTTTAAGAATAAGTTTTAAAGAGAATAATACATGTGCGTCTATATATTCTATACTAATATTGAAAAAATACAAATTTCTCTGTTCATTTATGTTAAAAGTTGAATCCATTGGACTCGAAATACAAAACTACAAGTTCGAGTCCGAGTCTACCAAAAAGTCTTCCAGTCCGGACTCGAACTCGCCCAGCTCTGATTTCTATATTTCTCGAATTCTAAGTTTATGTGAGTTTTTTTTCTCAAGTTTTTATCTTATAGATTGAAAAACGGTTAAAAAAGGTAGTTGAATATCGTGTGCCGTGTGAATGCTATGTTTGCGTGTGAGCAAGTAAATCCTAAATTTTTTCCAAACTGAAGTTCCTAAAACCGATATCTTTTTTACATCTTTTCAAACTTATATTATGGGCCAAAATGTGATGGATAATAATAATAGTGTTTGTGTATAGTATATCTCACCTTCGCTGTTTTCCTAGAACGATTTGAAAAGTCCATTAAGTCAAGTAAGCTGAACAGAATTTTTCTGAATTACACTACTCTACTGTTGCTTTCATGATGGCACATTTCTCAAAAACATCTGACATTTAATTAACATCCCATTGTAATAGCTCTGCTCCATCGAAATAACCGTTTCTTTTCTTTATTTTAAAACTGCTTGTACGTTATAAAAAGAGAATCTGTTATTTTAATTTGCTGTTTTAAAGCTAAGAGTTTCTATAATACTTGGTTATCTTACTGAAAAGTGCAATGGATCTATTTGTTTTTCTGATATAAAACATCAAACTAACAGCTGTTCGCTATTATGTTTGATAATATACTGCGTTCCTACAGCATACATCTACCCCAAAAAAAGTCCTTTCTTAATTTTATATGTGGATCGAATAGTATTTATCTGAAATTTTTCTTCTAACATAAATGCTAGTTTTGATATTGGTTTTCCCTTGCTAATTCTCTCTTTATGCTCTTGCTTATTATTTAACAAATTCTCTTTTGGAAGTGTGATACACGGCGTTTGAATACTACAATCTTTGAAATAATCACTATTTGCTGTTGCTTGATTTATTTTCTTGTTCTACTGATGTTTTTGATGTTTTTGATTTTTTTAATGTTTAGATGGAATCATCGTTAAGAAAAACTCAAGAAGATTTAGATCGCACTGAGAGAAAATATCATGAGGCTACCCGAGAGGTAGAAGTTGCACGACAAGCTTGTGATAGTGAAATGTGTAAGGTTTGTATATTAGGATAATCTCAGTGTTATATTCACATACAACGAAATATATTTTTTTATTCATATTCAGGCGTGTGATCAAATGGAACAAATGGAAAAAGAAAGAATAGAAGAAACGAGTAAATTTGTTCAATTATATGCTCAAAGTACGCTAATATTAACAGATAAGATGATTAAAGTATGTTATACTAGTCTATCTATTTGATTAACTTGTTGATTATATTCTCCATTTTAGTTATCAAAAGAATTATCAGATTTAAGAATAATTCCACAAGACGATATCATATCTGCAATTAAGCAATACAACGTGAACGTACCGGAATCAGAAATATTGTTATATGATATTTATGTATATAAAATCCATTATTTTGTTCGTGTCAAAATTCTATTTATGATGATTATTTTAGGCAGAAAATGAACATAATGCAATGAGTCAAGAACGACGATTAAAAAGTTTATTGCATTGGATGCAAATATTAAGAAATGATTTAGAAATACAACGAAAATCGAAAGATGGTAAGTATTTTTCAATCCTCATTCTTGATGGAGATTAGACTAAACAGTTTATTCAGTTAGTGAGAGTACGTTCAATTGATTCTAGACCATCCATCATTACCAGTAGATGATGAGAGTAGCAGTTCGTCCAGTGACGGTGCTTTACCGTCATCTTCGTCCCGTCATCATTCTAGACAACAAGGTACATCCACACACATTTAGTAGCTACCACATGCATTTTATGTTTTGTCACAAGTAAAATTTAAAAAAAAACTTCTCTCGATATTGTGCTGTCTTGTACATATGCTTGCCTATGTATGTTGTTCTTGTAGTTTTGTGTGCGTACGTCTGTGGATAAGATGGAGAGTGATGACATCGCTTATCTTGATATATATGGTTAATAGTAATAGCTTAGAGATGTAATCAACTCAGGAGTGTAAATGATAGTGGGATTTTAGGTGTGCAGACAAACACTTTTTTACAACTCATTCATCTATTTGTACTGAGAGCGGGCCTCCACTTGTTATACTAGAAATATCATTATATTTTATTTCCTCTTTCTGTTGAAGGTATTGAATCATTGCATGGTTTTTGTCGTCAAAATCAAAATTTTTCATCAAGTGTCAATTCAGATCAAATTCATTTTAACAGACGAAGTGTAAGTGGAATTATCTTGTTCTAAGTTGTTTGTTAGTCGAACAATTGTCTGCTGTTTAGGTGGAATTATTGCATTGTTTATTTGAAGCCAGTTTATTTAAAATGGAAACAGTTTATAACCGTTTAACTGGTGGACAAAAACCATATTTCAAAGATGAACAACGTCTTACAACTACTTTTATGAAAGATGTACGTATAATTAATTTACCATACAAAATTTTAGCTATTCCCTCTTTTATTTTTTTAGGGTCATCCAACTACAATGTTAAGAATTCCATATAAATCGATCAATCAACCGCCAACTGCTCCACTAGAATTAATGAGCAGAATTCCTATTGTACCAGCACCACCACAGCCTCTTCACATAACATTATCAATGCAATCAATGGACACTTCTCAACATCAACATCATCACTCAGCTGATTCGCATCGTTCAGCGCCACCACCCATTGGTTTTATTAATCCACCGCACACATCAGCTGGCTATCCACAACTTTCCAATCATTCCGGTAAGATCATTGTAGAATATAGTAGTTGAAACAGCTCGTAGTAAGTAGAACATAACTATCTCAGTATTTATTAGCAATTACACCAACACAAAGAGAAGCGCAAGTTTTTGTTTTTCCACATACACCCAGTAGTTGTAAGTTTTTGACATATTCTTCTTCTCTCGTACTAACTTTAATAAAATTTGCTTTTATTGCTAGATAATTAACAAAGATTGACTTTGAGACTTTTTTTCATCTTTTATATCTGAAACGGATACAGCTACTTCTATTAATAATTAAGTTAGTAGTAGTCACTTCTATTCGCTCTGCTAAATAATGATTCATTGCTAAAAAGTACATAATGCTTGTAGGAACACATGCACATACAGTGGCTCACAATTGTAAGTGTCCATTTTTCTTGTTGAATATTAAATTTTGAAATCTCAGCATGCAGCAGACTGAGAGCTTGGATCTCTTGGTTGATGAGAGATAGTATTTAATATTTTCATTTTCATAATAAGACGGATTTTCGTTGTTTAAAAGACATATTTTTACGTTAGCCGTGATTGATTAACGCACATGCACAATTAATAATGCTTTTCAATTATGCATCGCTGATAAAGATAATGTCAGCCTTCGTTGTTGTGCTCTTTTTGATTATCATTGATCATTATTATAAAAAAATTCACATACATTTATACACAAGCTTATTAATTTAATATTTTGATTAAATTGCTTGACTTTTTTTGCTCACTTACTAATATTTAAATAGAAATACCCTTATTACTCTACTATGTACTTTCTTTTGTTTTAAGATGATACTGATAGAAATCGTCATCAACTAATTGCATCCAACACACCACCTTACCCACTCACAGCCATGACCACACCGCGTTCTTCGACAAGACTACAACGCGTTCGAGTCAATTATGATTATACAGCACGTGCAGATGATGAAATCAGTATTAACTCTGGTAAGTTGAAAAATGTAAATAAACTTTTTCGAAATATTTATTTGCATTCTAACAGCTAATTTCTTAATAACCAAAAGAGCCCTTTATTTGTAGGTGATATAATTACTGTACTTGAAAAACGTCCTGATGGTTGGTACAGAGGCGAATTAGGCGGTCAAGTTGGTTTATTTCCAGGCAATTTTGTCGAAGAAATTTAATGCTCTCTACCTTAAATTTACTGTTATCGTTGTTGCTTTCATTACACAATCAATTTGATCTTTTATCATAAACATAAACACATACTCTCAGATACGCAAAGCGAATTTTTAGATCAAGAGTGATCCATATGAATGAATCTTGTTTTTGTATTTTACTATATGTATTTTGTTTTGTTTTACTATTTGTAAACGCATTCAAAATCTTTAACTACCTCTTAAACATCTCATTTTTCTTCTTGTTCACAATTAAAATATTGTTTTATTTGTTGTTGTTGTTGTTGTTGTTGTTGATCTCACTCAAATGTATGCTTAAATCAAATCCTGTAGAACAGTTATTACTATTTTGTTTTCATGCTTGTATTTGAATTGTATTAATTTCTCTCTTTCTCTATGTCTAAGACTGAATCAAATGATGAAGCTATTTTTTTGGTGCTTCCACTCCCAATATGCCCTGTGTAGTAGATAAAAAGAAAAGTTCTTTTTTCTCTATGTTTTGTAATTATTTATCTTTCTAAAATATGTTTTTTTTAAATAACTGTTTGTTGTTGCTTTTTACTTCTTAATTGTTTGCATTTATATCTATTTTTTGTGTTGAAAAATGAAATGAAGTAAGGCTAAGAACAAAAATAGAGAATTACAATTCGACACTTTTGAGAATAATTAAGCGAACAAATTTGATAGTAAAAAGGAGAAAGTGATTTGATAAACCCTTGTTGCTCACACTATATCAAACTGTATGATCTTGTCAAATAACCAGATTGAATACAGGCAGTTTCAACAACTGTTAATGTTCGATTATCACTTCTGCTTTCACTATTTTTGTTCTGTTCAAGGTGTAAAGTTATATGCAGCATCGCGTACACAGTCAATCTTTCTTCTTTCAGATATAGTCGCTGAATTTCTCAATTTAATTCTATTTTTTTCAATGTCCTCAACCGACGTGCCATTTTTCTCACGTTGTTTGTTCAAGATCTGAAAAGTGTGTAAGAAAAATGAGAATATGAAGTGGACTCTGAATAATGGAATGTCCTATTTTGTAGTTCTATGGGACATTTAGTTTCTTGTCTAGAGCATCTAAAAGATGGTCGTCGACTGCCGTTTTGGGACATAGAAAATTTATAGTAGAAAGAGATAATTGGTGTTGTGAGTGTACACGCGCCATGTAGGCACTACTTAGCAGTCTTGTTGACTTTCTTTCGCGTATAATACTTTTTATAAAAACGTAAAGCTAAATGTTGTATGCCTACTAATAAGAAATGGTTTAAACCAACGTGAAAGAAAGCTGTTTTTGTTGCATGTGCCAATAGCAACCAATATGGGAAATGTCGGACTAATATTATTCGAGTTCTTAGCCTAGGTCTACTTTTTCAAGATTACTGCTTGTCTTCGAAGTCAAATGCCAATATCTAACATTCAAAATACTCAAAAACTCAATCATTATCACCAAAATTTTCCGATTTAATTTTGAAAAAGGTTGAGAATGAAAACACTATCGAATTTCATTGTGGCATAACATTGAAATAAACATGTAGAAAGACGTGATTTAACGATTTTATTGATAAAACGTGTTAAAACTAGAATCATGATTTTTTTCAACAGAGAAAAAGGTCTTGATTTTACTGACGTCAAAGAAGTTATTTTTATTTCCCAAACTAAATTGTGACAGCGAGAGATAAAAGAATAGTTCGATAGATTACTAATTATTTCCAAGCTTTGAGTGTGTCCAATCGATTTTATCAAGCATAAATGA